CCATCAGCAAACCAAGTGTCTTAACATATGTCAGTATACCATAAATATAGAAAAAAAACCTGCGCCAAATTCTAACGGTGTTAGTAGAGCGAAACGGTCTCATGTACTCGTCGGTGATATTTGTACAAACATTTTGTACACATTGTAAGGACATGGAACGAAAAATACAAAGCTCCATGCTCATTGCTGATAACACAAAAGTTGCGATAGATTTTCATATCGAGAGTAAATCTACATCAATAATTTGTAAATCTAATTGTAATTAGATCAAATAGTAATATCCATTGCAGAATGTTGGAGAGACAAACCCTGTCATGTTACGATAATATATTCCATTTTCTGAGATTTACAATGTGTATCTAATAAGATATACACACATAAGTGTTAGACATGTACATTAGACACACGGAGAAATATTATTTAAGCAAACCAATCCTAGCGCATTATCACAGTTTCAGTGAAAGGAGAACAAATCGAAACCGATATTTACAGCGCATTTAAGTTGGTGTTTTCAGGAGTTGCATTATTTTTGTATCGCGTGTATCATCGACAGAAACAGCGGCCGAGGACACTTTCGGTTCCGGTGGCGTGCGCATCCAAGATGGCGGCACGTCCGTTTCCTTGAGGCGTGCGCATCCAAGATGGCGGCACGTTCGGTTCCGAGGGGCTATCCAAGATGGCGGCACGGCCACCACCACCAACATCCACCACCAACACCTCCACCACCACCGCCGCTGCCGTGTGTCAGACAGATGGCCTGCCACCCTCTCCAGACAGGACACTTACTGGTGTGGCGATTGCATGTGGAGATGATAGCTTACTGAGACGAGCTTATACACAGTCGATGACCCAGCAACTTTGTTGCCAGATTGACGTCACATCGCCGAAGGATCTTGCAACAAAATTCCACAAATGACATCATCGGGTATTAATGATGTGATTGTAAACTTTTAGGTGCAAGGTCTCGTTCCACAAAGCGATCGTATATTGTAGCACAATGACAGTCGTTCGTCTAAGTAAAGTATGTGAGTGGCGATCACCTTAGCGCTACGATCATGTTGTGGAACGGACGCCTGAATTCTAAAGGTGAATCGACATGCACAGACATATAGAGGTATAGATCGACAGACATGCGTGACGTTGTCACTCGCTCATCCATGCCGTGGTGTTGGCACTCGTGTATGCCAACGTGGCGTGTGTGTTTTTTACTCGTCTCTCCATGCAAAACGTGGTGCTACTCGTGACTACAAACAGACGTTACTGGAGGTATAGATCGACTGACATGCGTGACGTTGTCACTCGTTCATCCACGCCTTTGCACTAGTGTACAGTCAGCCTTACATGGGTGTACAGACAGTCTTACAGGGATGTACAGTCAGTCTTACAGGGGGTGTACAGTCAGTCTTACAGGGATGTACAGTCAGTCTTACAGGGTTGTACACTCAGTCTTACAGGGGGTGTACAGTCAGCCTTACATGGGTGTACAGACAGTCTTACAGGGATGTACAGTCAGTCTTACAGGGGGTGTACAGTCAGTCTTACAGGGGGTGTACAGTCAGTCTTACAGGGATGTACAGTCAGTCTTACAGGGATGTACACTCAGTCTTACAGGGGTGTACAGTCAGACTTACAGGGGTGTACAGCCAGCCTTACATGGGTGTACAGACAGTCTTTACAGGGTTGTACACTCAGTCTTACAGGGGGTGTACAGTCAGTCTTACAGGGGGTGTACACTCAGTCTTACAGGGTTGTACAGACAGTCTTACAGGGATGTACAGTCAGTCTTACAGGGGTGTACAGTCAGTCTTACAGGGGTGTGCAGTCAGTCTTACAGGGGTGTACAGTCAGCCTTACAGGGATGTACACTCAGTCTTACAGGGGGTGTACAGTCAGTCTTACAGGGGTGTACAGTCAGTCTTACAGGGGTGTGCAGTCAGTTTTACAGGGATGTACAGTCAGTCTTACAGGGGTGTACACTCAGTCTTACAGGGGGTGTACAGTCAGTCTTACAGGGATGTACAGTCAGCCTTATATGGGTGTGCAGTCAGCCTTACATGGGTGTACAGACAGTCTTACAGGGATGTACAGTCAGCCTTATATGGGTGTGCAGTCAGCCTTACATGGGTGTACAGACAGTCTTACAGGGATGTACAGTCAGCCTTATATGGGTGTACAGTCAGCCTTACATGGGTGTACAGACAGTCTTACAGGGGGTGTACAGTCAGTTTTACAGGGATGTACAGTCAGCCTTATATGGGTGTGCAGTCAGCCTTACATGGGTGTACAGACAGTCTTACAGGGATGTACAGACAGTCTTACATGGGTGTACACTCAGTCTTACAGGGGGTGTACAGTCAGTTTTACAGGGATGTACAGTCAGCCTTATATGGGTGTGCAGTCAGCCTTACATGGGTGTACAGTCAGTCTTACAGGGATGTACAGTCAGTCTTACATGGGTGTGCAGTCAGTCTTAAGGGGTGTACAGTCAGTCTTACAGGGATGTACATTCAGTCTTACATGGGTGTACAGTCAGCCTTACAGGGATGTACAGTCAGTCATATGTGGGTGTACAGTCAATCTTACATGGGTGTACAGTCAGCCTTACAGGGATGTACAGTCAGCCATATGTGGGTGTACAGTCAGTCTTACAGGGGTGTACAGTCAGTCTTACAGGGATGTACACTCAGCCTTATATGGGTGTACAGTCAGTCTTAAGGGGTGTGCAGGCAGTCTTGCAGGGTTGTAAAGTCAATCTAAAAGTGGTGTACACTCAGTCTTACAGGGGGTGTACAGTCAGTCTTACATGGGTGTACAGTCAGTCTTACATGGGTGTACAGTCAGACTTACAGGGATGTACAGTCAGTCTTACCAACGTTCTGATTGTTCGGATGAAAGGTCGTTCTGACTCGGCCGTAACTGGGAAGTCCTCAGAGCTTTGCCAACCAGTAGCAAAAACTAAAATCTGATTTAATGAGATAGGGCACGAGTACCCATATCCTGAGGCGCATTCTAATTGGTTCATGGAAGCCATCGAGAGGGGCGCCCTCATTTGACATTGCCAATACGTACTTCCTTACTGATAATATATGCGCACTTCCTTACTGTTAATCATGATAATATGCGTACTTCCTTACTGTTAATCATGATAATATGCGTACTTCCTTACTGTTAATCATGATAATATGCGTACTTCCTTACTGTTATATTATCAGCAAGGAAGTACGTATGGCAATGCCGAATGAGTGTACAACCCTGTAAGACTAAGTGTACAACCCTTTAGGGTGACTGTTCACCCCTGAAAGATTGACTGTACACCCATGTAAGACTGAGTGTACAACCCTGTAAGACTAAGTGTACACCACTTTAAGATTGACTGGACAACCCTGTAAGACTAAGTGTACACCACTGTAAAATTGAATGTACAACCCTGCAAGACTAAGTGTACATCACTGTAAGATTGACTGTACAACCCTGAAAGATTGACTGTACACCCATGTAAGACTGAGTGTACAACCCTGTAAGACTAAGTGTACACCACTGTAAGACTGAGTGTACACCACTGTAAGACTAACTGTATGAGACTTATGAACTATAGACTATTATATGACTCTTTGCCAGGCAAATCTGTAACTGTACGCCCATGTAAGACTAAGTGTACACCACTTTAAGATTGACTGGACAACCCTGTAAGACTAAGTGTACACCACTGTAAAATTGACTGTACAACCCTGCAAGACTAAGTGTACATCACTGTAAGATTGACTGTACAACCCTGAAAGATTGACTGTACACCCATGTAAGACTGAGTGTACAACCCTGTAAGACTAAGTGTACACCACTGTAAGACTAATTGTATGAGACTTATGAACTATAGACTATTATATGACTCTTTGCCAGGCAAATCTGCATATCACATGGCCGGACGTGCTTAAACCAATGTGCTTATTCTAAAATTGGAACAGACTGGTCTAATGCAAGTAAATATTGTGTTGAGCTTTACATATTGTTTTGCATAATTATATAGATATGCTACTACAACTACGACAAAGAGGTGAACAATATATATTTTTACGTCGAAGTGATCCGGACCCGTGAAGATCCGGGGTAGAATAGATCTTCAGCAACCCATGCTTGCCGAAAAAAGCGATTATGCTTCCCGTAAGAGGCGACTATGGGGATCGGTTGGTCAGGCTCGCTGACTTGATGCATGTCATCGATCCCAATTGTGTGGATCGATGTTCATGATGTCAATCACTGGATTCTCTGGTCCAGAGTTTTCAGACCGCCTTCATATAGCTGGAATATTGCTGAGTGCGGCCTTAAACAACAAACAAACAAACGAACAAACGAAGTGACCCTATCCCTAACTGTTCTTTCGGCTTCTATGACAGCAGGCGGAGCTGTACAACCAATGTAAACAAACGATAACTATGCAAATGGAAATTGTTTTCCACGTTTGAGGATATTTTCTCACTGAAATGTAACCTTTCTATGACACATGTTTATCTAAATGTGTATGCTCGTTAAAAATGAAACAGATGAAACATATGCAATATCTTGTATGGACTGTGTAAGACGTGACCTACTATCCCATGGCACTGGCCTGTGGTAGAAGTACTATGCTGCAGGTAGAAAGTCTGGGTAGGAGAGTGCAAATTAGACATATCGGAAAGTTGGTACCCTTGACCTTTTTACCGTAAAAAAGACACATATTTCACCTGAATGTGCCTCACAGTGTGATATAGAACCGACACCATATATCAATTTGAATGTTTCAACCATATAGACCAACATAACGCGAACGAAGATACCGGTGACCAACTTTACTTAACTATGGCGTCTGCAACACCACACTAGGATTTTCATTAATGAACCCAATGGATAATGGCATATTATTAATCCAGGTACATGTTTACTTCTACCTGAGTGAAACTGCATGCACAATGCACCCTAGTAGATTGTTTTCATGTGATATTTACTTTGATACTCAGCAAGACTTACCTCTGCCGCGGACAGATAACCATGGAAGTAGTATTTTTCTGGTTTGATTTGAATAAGTATCTCTGCTGCTTCTGAGCACCTGCGGAGAAGGAGTGAGTGAGTGAGTGAGTTTAATGTTTAAGATGGTATAGTCGGTCAGCCAATGGAGCCGCAATGCACGATGGTATAGTCAGTCAGCCAATAAAGCCGCAATGCACAATGGTATAGTCCTTCAGTCAATAGAGCGACAGGACACCATGGTATAGTCCTTCAGTCAATAGAGCGACAGGACACCATGGTATAGTCCTTCAGTCAATAGAGCGGCAGGACATCATGGTATAGTCCTTCAGTCAACAGAGCGGCAGGACACCATGGTATAGTCCTTCAGTCAATAGAGCGGCAGGACATCATGGTATAGTCCTTCAGTCAACAGAGCGGCAGGACGCCATGGTATAGTCGGTCAGTCAATAGAGCCGCAATGCACCATGGTATAGTCCTTCAGCCAGTAGAGCCGCAGTGCACGATGGTATAGTCAGTCAGTCAATAGAGTGGCAGGACACCATGTTATAGTCAGTCAGTCAATAGAACGGCCGGACACCATGGTATAGTCAGTCAGTCAGTCAGTCAATAGAGCGGCAGGACACGATGGTATATTCAGTCAGCCAATAGAGCGGCAGGACGCCATGGTATAGTCAGTCAGTCAGTCAATAGAGCTGCAGGACGCCATGGTATAGTCAGTCAGCCAATAGAGCGGCAGGACGCCATGGTATAGTCAGTCAGTCAATAGAGCAGCAGGACACCATGGTATAGTCAGTCAGTCAATAGAGCGGCCGGACGCCATGGTATAGTCAGTCAGTCAACAGAGCAGCAGGACACCATGGTATAGTCAGTCAGTCAATAGAGCAGCCGGACACCATGGTATAGTCAGTCAGTCAGTCAATAGAGCAGCAGGACACCATGGTATAGCCAGTCAGTCAATAGAGCGGCAGGACACCATGGTATAGTCAGTCAGTCAATAGAGCGGCCGGACACCATGGTATAGTCAGTCAGTCAATAGAGCGGCCAGACACCATGGTATAGTCAGTCAGTCAATAGAGCGGCCGGACACCATGGTATAGTCAGTCAGTCAGTCAATAGAACGGCAGGACGCCATGGTATAGTCGGTCAGCCAATAGAGCGGCCGGTCACCATGGCATAGTCAGTCAGTCGATAGAGAGGCCAGACACCATGGTATAGTCAGTCAGTCAGTCACCAGAGCGGCAGGAAGCCATGGTATAGTCAGTCAGCTAATAGAGCGGCCTGACACCATGGTATAGTCAGTCAGTCAGTCAATAGAGCCGCAGGACACCATGACATGGTGGTCAGTCAATAGAGCGGCAGGACGCCATGGTATAGTCAGTCAGCCAGTAGAGCGGCAGGACACCATGGTATAGTCAGTCAGCCAGTAGAGCCGCAGGACACCATGGTATAGTCAGTCAGCCAGTAGAGCCGCAGGACACCATGGTATAGTCAGTCAGCCAGTCAATAGAGCTGCAGGACGCCATGGTATAGTCAGTCAGCCAATAGAGCGGCAGGACGCCATGGTATAGTCAGTCAGTCAATAGAGCAGCAGGACACCATGGTATAGTCAGTCAGTCAATAGAGCGGCCGGACGCCATGGTATAGTCAGTCAGTCAACAGAGCAGCAGGACACCATGGTATAGTCAGTCAGTCAATAGAGCAGCCGGACACCATGGTATAGTCAGTCAGTCAGTCAATAGAGCAGCAGGACACCATGGTATAGCCAGTCAGTCAATAGAGCGGCAGGACACCATGGTATAGTCAGTCAGTCAATAGAGCGGCCGGACACCATGGTATAGTCAGTCAGTCAATAGAGCGGCCAGACACCATGGTATAGTCAGTCAGTCAATAGAGCGGCCGGACACCATGGTATAGTCAGTCAGTCAGTCAATAGAACGGCAGGACGCCATGGTATAGTCGGTCAGCCAATAGAGCGGCCGGTCACCATGGCATAGTCAGTCAGTCGATAGAGAGGCCAGACACCATGGTATAGTCAGTCAGTCAGTCACCAGAGCGGCAGGAAGCCATGGTATAGTCAGTCAGCTAATAGAGCGGCCTGACACCATGGTATAGTCAGTCAGTCAGTCAATAGAGCCGCAGGACACCATGACATGGTGGTCAGTCAATAGAGCGGCAGGACGCCATGGTATAGTCAGTCAGCCAGTAGAGCGGCAGGACACCATGGTATAGTCAGTCAGCCAGTAGAGCCGCAGGACACCATGGTATAGTCAGTCAGCCAGTAGAGCCGCAGGACACCATGGTATAGTCAGTCAGCCAGTAGAGCCGCAGGACACCATGGTATAGTCAGTCAGCCAATAGAGCCGCAGGAAACCATGGTATAGTCAGTCAGTCAATAGAGTGGCAGGACGCCATGGTATAGTCAGTCAGCCAGTAGAGCCGCAGGACACCATGGTATAGTCAGTCAGCCAGTAGAGCCGCAGGACACCATGGTATAGTCAGTCAGCCAGTAGAGCCGCAGGACACCATGGTATAGTCAGTCAGCCAGTAGAGCGGCAGGACACGAGGGTATAGTCCGTCAGCCAATAGACTGGCAGGACACGAGGGTATAGTCAGTCAGTCAATAGACTGGCAGGACACGAGGGTTTAGTCAGTCAGCCAATAGAGCGGCAGGACATGAGGTTATAGTCAGTCAGTCAATAGACTGGCAAAACACGAGGGTATAGTCCGTCAGCCAATAGACTGGCAGGACACGAGGGTATAGTCAGTCAGCCAATAGACTGGCAGGACACGAGGGTTTAGTCAGTCAGCCAATAGAGCGGCAGGACATGAGGTTATAGTCAGTCAGTCAATAGACTGGCAAAACACGAGGGTATAGTCCGTCAGCCAATAGACTGGCAGGACACGAGGGTATAGTCAGTCAGCCAATAGACTGGCAGGACACGAGGGTTTAGTCAGTCAGCCAATAGAGCGGCAGGACATGAGGTTATAGTCAGTCAGTCAATAGACTGGCAAAACACGAGGGTATAGTCCGTCAGCCAATAGACTGGCAGGACACGAGGGTATAGTCAGTCAGCCAATAGAGCGGCAGGACACCATGGTATGTAGTCAATCACTAGAGGAAATATTGTTAGAGCAATGTTTGGGTATAAGATAGGATGTACTCACGACACATCTTTGCCGCCAACGAGGCTGTCGCACAACGTTTTGAAGCCAACACTGATGGTGCAAGCAGAAATGAGGACCAAGAAGAATGCAACACCGTCGGCGATGACCTGGATCAGGAACGGTAACTCTGCGAACTGTACTCTGCAAAAAAAGAAGAGTTTCTTGTGTTACATTAATTTAGAATGAAAACAGCGTTATTTACCAATACCATGCATGGTTGACAACAAACATGAGCGGTATGCCCTATTGTGAAATAATTCACGGTTACCAAGTCTATCAAATCCCTTTATTTTGCAATGAATACCCTGGACCTATTTGCTGCCTTTGCTTCGTTCAGAGTCTGATTCATATGACACAGCGCTCAAAACTTACATTTTATCCTTTAGAATGCCGATGAAGGTGAGGACGGTGAGGACAATGACGGCGATAGGACACAGCAAGCAGAATATGACGGCGATGGCGATGCTGTAGTTACATATGGACACCGATCCATACGACTTCTTTATGTCCGATCCATACCACTTCTTTATGTCCGTGTACAACAAACAGTTTTGTCCGTGTTTAAACTGGAACAGAGATCACAGAGACTGAACAAACAAGTGACGTCACATAGCACACTATGACGTCATGACATCTGTACTCATAATAGGGCAAATCTTGGATCCATCTTCCTCACCTCACTGATATTACACTAGAGTGAGTGAGTGAGTTGGGTCTAACGCTGCTTTTAACATTATTTCAGTCATATCGCGGGGTGTCAGCTTAATGTGGGAGGGCAGCCCGAAGTGATGCAGGTCTCAGACGTTTACCACTTTGGTGAAACCCACGAGCACGGGTATGGTGCTGACAAATCTAGAAACATAATCGGGAGCGAACCGGGATTTGAACCCACAATCATAGGTTTCTGGCGTGCCCAAGGGACGCAACTCTGCACAGCGAATCGCGGCGCCTTAGACAACTGGGCCACCCGTGCCCCCGATAATATGTCGAGACCTTGTGAGAATAATCTTACTGCCATATCTTAAACACAGAAATTATAATTCTTATTGCAGATTTCTATGCTAGGACAAACACTTTGTCTGGCGTTGGCACACCTGATACACATATGTTGGTGTCGATGACAAGAGACAGAATTGGATTCTGAATGTAATTTAGGACCATGGGACATCTAAACTTAGAGGATCTACAGGCAATGATAAACCAAATAATTATGGATTAAGAGTGATTGAACTATGCCACCGCTACTACAGAGGTGGCCCAGGAAGGTTTTCTGGTAATAATACTGGCAAGGCTGTAAGCACAATATATTACGCCATTTCTTCAGCAATAACCTGTCCTTTGATTTCGAACTTTGCCATTTATTTTATAGGTGCACACAGACCAATGAGTGAGGTATGGTCTTACGCCGATTGTAGCGGCATTCCTGAAACATCATGGCGGAGGACGCCAGAAATGGGCTTCACACATTGTACCCTCACAGACCAGTGAATTGTAACTTGCATGTAGTAAATAACAAGTTATAATTACTGAACCAGATAGCAATCTTACAAACATTTTAAAGCATGCAAGTTTGATAACTCCAAGGCTGCTAAGTGTGCTTGAGATTTAGCAGAGCAAGATGGAAACATTCTCTTTACAAATCGGAGTCACTGCGAGAAGGTCAAGGTAATCAAAGCGAGGTTACGAATGAACTGGCCCGGGGGATCACGTGCTGATAGAATCAGAACGAAACACATTCGGGAATGCTCCTGATAAGGTAAAGACTACCACGCGTCGTAATATGCCTTGTCGGAGATACCTTGGTTTGTCCCCGAATGTAAGCACAAACGTAAACACTTGAAGGTAAAACACTAAAAAGTAACATATATATCTTACGTAAAGCTAGTAAAGAGCCCAGGCTTTATCGGAGATATCAACAAAGCAGTTTAGTTGCTAAATCTAATATAATCTTTGTAAATGCAATCTACCCGATGTATTTGATAACCCTGTGTTATAAATAAAACTTGAACCAACGCCAAATATCATTAATTGTGTGTGTGGCTGCTTGAACGAGTCGGGACTAATGCCGGTTTCGGAGTGTTGGCCTACTGAGATACCATGCCACAGTTTAAAATGGATACCCCACTCAGGCACAATATACGGACTCCGAGCCAACAACTCTCTGTTTTATCCCTTCAATGCCGAGTGCCAGACTGGGTAACAAGTACTATCTTAACGTCTTTTGGTATGACGCGGCCGGGGATCGAACCACCGACCTTCCGCTCTCCGGGCAGACGCTGTACCCACTCGCCTACCCAGAGTGTCTTGAGGCCAGCCTGATACCCCTGCCACAGTCCAGCGATATTTCACGATACTTCGAATCTTACATGTCAATTCAAAATATGGCATATGTTTTTCACCTGTTTCACTTTTACGAGTCTTCACATATAGATAAACACATGTCATAGAATGGTTAAGTTTTATTGAGAAAATATCCTAAAACGTTAAATACTATTTCGATTTGCGCATTTTATCCTTTGTTTACATTGGTTGTAGGGCTTCACGTGCTGTGGAGCATATGGAGAACGATACGGCCCCTTTGATGTACATAATGATCTCATGATCCTCGCTTTTGCAGGTGTAGTGGCGTATCGATAATATTATGGAAAACAATATGCCAAAGGCTTCCATTAGGCCAGTTTGATCTGACTTTTACAACAAGAGAAAAGTCCGGTCGCGTTATAGGCAAACTAGCCTGTGAAAATGGTGTAATGCTTCAGGTTATCCAGGACAGGTTGAACCAGTTCACAAAACGCGTTTGAGACGAGAAGGCGGTGCACAGAATTTGGGCAAACACATTTGGTTTGTTGCAGGTAGAGCGTGTACTCATAACTCCCGCCAATATGACGTGTCCGGGTGTTTAATAGAGGTTACTACACGAGTGTCTGTCAGATACCATTGATCTAACAACGAGCTGTAAGATCAATGGTATCTGACAGGCACGAGTGCAGTAATCTGTTTCTTACACACCCTAAAATGACCCTTCTCTTCAACCCTCACTTCGAAATCGAATAAAATTCAAAATACATCACGCAGAATCTTCACAGTTATGAATTCCCCCTTCTGTTTATCATTTACTGTCATTTTAGGCAATTCAAAATTACTGAAAGTGACTGAAAGTTAGGTACATTGTAAATCTCGCCAAATCACAATTCACGGCGTTATATAAATATGTATTGTGTGTTTAGAATCTAAATATCGGATATTTACTCGAATAATTAAAGTAGAAAAATAGCATATTAGCGATCACGGGTATCACATCACTAATGATAATTCTGAAACGTCGCTGATAAGCCTAGAATCGTTTAGAATGTTTTGGAAAATACGCATACACGAACGCCGAAGTGTACGATCCGCCATATTGGATTGTGTTTGCCGGTTATGAGACGCCTATTCGATCAAACGAGTTGTAAGATCAATGGTATCTGACAGGCACGAGTGCAGTAATCTGTTTCTTACACACCCTAAAATCGCACCTTTTTAGCATCGAACCGATGAATTTTGTCTATATTCTCATGATTGCTGTAGCGCATTAATACATAACACCACTGTCATAAGTGACGTCATCCTATGTGCTGCTTACTTCTCATAAATAATGTGACCCTACACAAAAAGGTTTCCGTCATATCTGTGGATTAAGGCGATGATGAAAATGCAAACTAGACAAAAACCAAGAACACACTGTGTGCCAAGTTGAATGTTTACACCTCAAAGAAATTACCAAATATGTACAACAATGTTTACTTCCGTATGACATCACTACCGGTGACCGACTTTTACAAAATGGCGTGTTCACTGACAACATTACGCGAGATTTCCAGAGGAGGTTTTCGTTGATTGAGGGATCGTATACACATAAATGTGTCACGTAAGTAATCAGAAACATTCTGACTCTGCGTACTGTTATTTGTTTACCATGTTTTCCAATGTAACAAAGAGAATGAGTCAGAAATGCAGATAACTGTCGTCGACGTTGTGCGTGATTTAGCGTCAGTCATGGCGTCACACAGGACGGAAACTTTTACGGCTTCTGTTGAATTTACCACATCATTGTAATGTATAAATGTGTATTTCCATAATTAGTGCAACGATACTCTTCCCATGAATATTCTCAAACGCGTGATCGAGCTAATGTATGCAACAATTAGACCAAAGTACCTCTAAAAATGCTACACAGTGTAAAATCTGAATTTTGCTTTGTTTACATTTCAGCAAGTACAGTTTTCCAAGCACATTTTTCATTTCCATACCTAACTTATTTCGCATGATTTCATCTAGATAATTTGCATTGGTGACAAAGACCATGTATCCATTGTTTCGAAAATGTATGAGGAATTCAGGGATGCATGTATAGCAGCTGAGTTTGAAATATACCTGAACGAATAGGCGTCTCATAACCGGCATTTTGTAAACACAATCCAATATGGTGGAACGTACACTTCGGCGTTCGTGTATGCGCATTTTCCAAAACATTCTAAACGATTCTAGGCTTATCAGCCACGTTTCAGAATAATCATTTGTGATTTGATACTCGTGATCGCTAATATGCTATTTTTCTACTTTAATTATATGAGTGATTATCCGATATTTAGATTTCTAAACACACAATACATATTTATATAACGCCGTGAATTATGATTTGGCGAGGTTTACAATGTATCTAATTTTCAGAAGTCACTTTCAGTAATTTTGAATTGCCTAAAATGACAGTAAATGATAAACAGAAGTGTATTAGTCAGCGTGATGTATTTTGAATTTTATTCGATTTCGAAGTGAGGGTTGAAGAGGAGGGTCATATGTGTCGCTGTGGCATCCAGGGGGTTTACATTCTGAAAAAAACGATAATGGATAAAACTACTCAGGAAAGTAGTCCGTCATCATCTGACCTCAGGTCATCACCATGGAGTAGCCAATCACGGGCCTGGAATTCGATCTCACACATATGTTTGATACCAGTTATCTCAAATGGGTTTCTCACCCACAGGTGTGTAAGAAATAGAGAATACTACACTCATTCTCGTTAGATACCAGTCGGGTGCTTCACGCTCAAGGGGACCCTCGCTCTATTGATCTTTCCACTTGCATCTTCACTACGTGGGTAATAATGTCTTTTATTACCCACGTGGTGAAGATACAGTTGGTAAGATACTAAATCACGTGTGTCGTACAAGGTTGACCTTGTTTTATTCGTTTTGATTGGATAACCGTGACCTCTGTCACACCGGGACTACTTTTTTCATTCATAAAAAATCGCGAGACGTCATTCAATTTGCGATTACAAGGCAGAACTGAAGAAATTCATGAGAACGAGAGATATTTACAAACACTTTATTAAACCAAACAAGATAGTCACACGCATCAAATTCGGTTTGCATTCTAGATAAGTCATGCATAGAGCTCCTATAGACATATAATCGAGCTAGATCTATAAATCGATTTACAATGTACGACTGCCGATCGAGCGCGTCCCTTGAGCGTGAAGCACCCGACCACTTTCGCAACTTTCAATTTGATTTAACGTAAAAGGATAAGCGTGGTGAAATGAAGTCTGTTTAAGCTATCTGGACAGATATCGAGACTTACTTGGGATGATCCGGTTGTGCCATCGGTGTCCCCTTTGAAGCGTG